TATGGATCAGTGGCAGCTCTGTTACAACAGAGCTTTTAGAAGTTGGTGCCTGGAGCCTGGAGAGATGGCTCAGCAGTTAAGAGCACTAGCTGCTCTTGCAGAGGACCCGGGTTCAGTTCCCAGCACCCCACATGGTGGCTAACAACCACCCATCACGCTAGTTCTAGGAGATCCAACACCCTCTTCTGACCTCCGTGGGCATTGCACGACATGGGTGCACTTATGTACATGCAGGTAATATACCCATACACATACTAAATAAAATATTTAAAATGATGGTGCCTGGTATGCAGGCTATATACTCATGCACATAAAATAAAATTAAAAAAATACTTCTACTGAATAATCAAACCTGGAAGTATTCTTGAGGATCATTAATATACCGTGAGTTCTGTTCAGGCATCTATAACACACTATCAGACTGGGTAGCTCAAACAATAAACACTTATTTCTTGCAGTTGTAGAAGTTGGAAAGCCTAAAATCAAGGCAGCGTAGAATTTGGGTCTGGCAAAGGCCTTCTTCCAGATTCATAAGTGGCCGTATTTTCACTGTGTCCTCATATGACAGAAGGGGCAAGAGAGCTCTGTGGGGGTCCCTTTTATAGGAGCACTAATCCCACTTCTGAGGGCTTCATTCCACGAGTTAATTCCCTTCCAAATACTTCTATTATTGGAGGTCATTTCAGATGTTAATTATTTTTTACTTATTTGTATTTTATGTGTATGAATATTTGCCTGCGTGTACGTAAGTGAACCTGTGAGCATGAGGACAGAAAAGAGCTTTGGATCCCCTAGAACTGGTTATTAGCTACCATGTGGATGCTAGAAATCAAACCCTGGTTCTCTGGAAGAGCAACCAGTGCTCTTAAGCACTGAGCCATCTCTCCAACCCCTATAAAATATTTTTTATGTTTATAACACCTAAGAGGTAGCTATTGAGAAGTAAAGAGAAAAATATCTTTTGATAAGAAGGAGTATCATGTATTCCTCAGGTATTTTCAGTGTGCTTAATTATTCATAAAGGACCCAAAAGCCAGAGCCGAGGAAAATTATAATCTGGTAATGGAAGTTACATTATCAATACACAATAAGTTCTGAATGTACAGTTTTATTCTTTTGAAGACTTTGGTTGTAATACTTTCCTAAAAAGAATATAGTAACATATTTTAAATAATTTTAGAGCTAGTAGTACAGTTTGTACATTTCAGAAAGATAAAAGTTTTCAGTCATAATAAAAATTAATTAGTAATAAAATTAGTAATTAAAGTAATTAGCAAATTACTAATCACTTGCCTTATGATGAGCAGTGGTACTTTTATGTGCGTTATTTTGTTTGTTTTTTGCAGACATTCATTGAAGTAGGTATAAGATTATTTCCATTTTATAGAAGGGAAAGCAAAGCTTTATAGAGAATAACTTGCCCAATATCACATTCTCCAACAAATGGCAGGGACAAAAATTGGTTCGGAGCCCAAACTTTTACCACAGACTCAAATTCCACAATGATAGGTAACAAGGCAGACATTACAGATAGTTAAAATTACCTTTGAAAATCCTTCAAATCAAGCAGCTTGTCAAAAAATTCTGTATCCTTGGAACAAATCATTGTTTCTTTGGTTGAACAACATCTTATATAGTTTTTTATTTTTTGAAACAGGATCTCACTATGTAGTGCTGACTGGACTACAGCTCATTATGTACACTAGGCTGGCCTCAATCTCACAGAGATCCACCTGCTTTTGCCTCCCAAATGCTGGATTGAAGAACCAGCTACAGCATGCTATTTTCAAAATGTACTGTATTGTCATCCTTAGTACATTGCAAACATACATGTATGAGAAAGATAAGCAATATTTAAGTTTAGTTAATTTGAATATTAGATTAATGTCTCCCACCCCAGGATTCTAGGATAATGTTCACTGAATGAAATATGATAACGTTTAAACTAAATTTGTGCCTGGCATTCATGTGTATTCTGTTAGTCTCTTGCTGCCTGACTCACTATTTATTTAACAATTATTTATTCAGCCTAATATATGCCAAGGACTGTTTTAGGTATTGGAATGTTGAAGTGAGAAAAGCTGTTTGTGCCCTCTGGAATTTTCATTATAATGGATAAAGGTAGGTGTAGGACTGTGTGTGTATGAATTTAGAAACACGCACATGCACACCCAGTTAGTGGTAAGTGCAATAGGAAGAAAATACAGGTGAATAAGGACTCCTAGGTCTTGGATGAAGTAGTGTGTCGTTCCCCCCCCATACCTTCACCTGACCTAGAGCTCACTGTGTAGACTAGGCTGGCCCTAATCTTACAGAGATCTCCATCCCTCTGCCTTCTAAGTGTTAGGATTAAAGATGTACACCATCACGCCTGGCTTTGATTTCACTTTATTATATATGTTGCTCAGAGAGCACTACTCTCCAGAGCTGGGCGTGGTGGTGCATGCCTTTAATCCAAGTACTCAGGAGGCAGAAACAGGCAGGTGTCTCTGAGATAAAGGCCAGCCTGGACTCAGTAGCAAGTTCCAGGCCAGCTGAGGCTATAGGGAGACCCTGTCTCAAAAAGAAAAGTAAAAAAAGAAAAAGACCTCTGCAAAGGCGATAAGGCAGTAAGTAATGTGGTTATCAGAAAAAGAATATTCCAGGCAGAGGGAACAGTAAGTAGGTTAGAGTGGGGTAAGTATTCTATTCCTCCAATAGCAAGGAATGGAAGGCAAATCATATTAAGTAGAGTCTTAAAAGCCAGAATCAGAATTCCTGGTTAGTAATGGAATACAAGTGAAAGGTCAGCGATATTTTTACAATCACTCCAGCAGTCATAAAAGAATTAACTATATTGGATAAAGTATAAAAACAAAGAGTAGATAAGAGCCTGTTTCAAGAGGCCACATGAGTGGCCTTATACGAGTATGAATAGTGTCAGTGGTTGGAGATAATGAGAAGTAGAAAGACAAATGCTTTGAACATATTGTTGATAGTTTATTATGTGTTGTATTGGGGGTAAGAAAGAGTTAAGAGTGACCAAGTATGTTTTTGTCCTGAGAAGCTGTAAGAATGGAATTTCCATATACTGAGATACTGAGAAAAAGTATAGAAGGAAAAAATTTTGACACCATGCCACCCCACACACACACACATACACTTATGCACAAGTTGTATGAAAAGGAATCTGGAGTTCAGTTTTGTCCATGCTGACTTTAAATGCCTGTTCAAGTAGAGATAGCAAGTAGGCACTTTGATCACTGGAATTTAAAACCGTGCAACTGGATGAGGGATATAGAATTGTACTCGAAAATTTTCTGTTTGTGTTGTTATCTGTGTATTTCCTGTGTTGCCTTTTCTTTCTCACTCTCCCTTGAGCACATATAAGTAAATTTATTTATCGTTAACTCTACCTATATGATTGAATGCACACTTCCAAAATATCCTGAAGATGAAGCTAAAATAGTAAAACATTATGTTGTATATTATTTTGAACTTACGAAGATCTTTTATTCATCATTTGCCTACTATGTACCAGTAATTATGCTAGATACTTTTGTATATGGTATCTCATCTTGGTTTTCTTCAATGACTATTTGTGTCTTATAAAGAAACACTTAGGTGTTTATGGACATACAGATTTAGAGAAAATACTCTTGTATTTATTTTGCTCTAAATTTACATATAAAAATAAAAATATTTTTAATTAATGAAAGTATATACATAAATATTGCACTTAATAACATAAAACACTAACTAGCTATAGGCAAGTTCTATTTCCCATCAGTAAAATAATAAGACTAGGTATGAGGACTCAAAGAATTATCAAACAGTACATTAGAGTCTTTATTTATTTTTCTGTATGTATGTTGTGCAACATCATAGCTATTAACCATATGTGTCTATTTAAGTTTAGACCTATGAAAAATAGAACAAAATCAGATTCTTAGTTGTACTTGTCACATTTAAAGCACTCAAGATCCATATGTAAGTAATAGATTTCATGATGGATAGTGCAACGATCAAGCATTATCATTATGGAAGTTTCCATAGAATGGCCTTTTACAACTATTTCTGTTACATAGCTTCTTCAGAGTTTCTGATTAGATTTGTTTGGTTTTAGGAAGTTCAGTTTGTTTTACTAACATGAAATAAATGGGAAATAGCAAAAATTATAAAAATTTGTTTTTTTCTAAAAATAAAATGTAATTAATTTTCATAATCTCGTGTTTCAGTAGTTTATGCTTCAAATTTATAATAATAAATGCTTTTATAATGTAGTTTGTGTAGGCCTTTCCCCTTAGATCCTAGATGATATAATTTTCTCTTTAAATATTTTATTCATTATTTTTATTTTATGTGTGTGTATAACCTGCATGTTTGTAAGTATACCCGTGTCATACACTATCCACAGAAGTCAGAAGAGGGAGTCAAATCCCCTGGAACTTGAGTTAGGGACAAGTTGTCAGCTGCCGTATGGATGCTGGGAATTAAACCTGGGTCCTCTGCAAGAGCAGCCAGTGCTCTTAACTGCTGAGCCATCTCTCCAGTCCCTAGTTGATAAGATTTTCATGTTGGGTACTTACTTTTGAAACTAAAAGGTGTTTTTTTTAAATAAAGGTAGGCACATACCTTGGTGAAATCCTGGAATTTGTCACCAACATTACAAAAATTAAATAATGAGTGGAAGAAGGGCTCAGTATAGCCCAACAGTAGCCTAAGACCCTGTATTATCCCTATCACCAAAACTGAAAAAAAAATTCTGGCATTATCTGTGATGAGATATCAAATAAACAGCAATTTCCAGTCTCAGGATTTGTGTTGGGTAGCAGTTAGTGTTTCTAAAACATGGTGGTGCATACCTGTAATCCTAATAGTCAGGAGGCTGGGACAGAAAGATTACAAGTTTGAGACCAGTATACCAAATTTTCAAGAGCAGACTGGGCTGTATAATAAGACTGTGTCTCCGGAAAGAAAAGAAAGTATATTAATATTATTTCTAATATTTTTATAAACAGAAAAAGGGAATTCATCGTTGTCCAAAATGCAGGCTACAGTTTTTGACCTGCAAGGAGAAAGCAGAGCATAAAATAGAGCATCGTACATTTATAAAACCCAAAGAACTAGTAGGATTGCCTGCTGGAACAAAAGTGAGTATTAAATATATTGTATTTTAGCTTTTATGTAATAGAAATAACTTCCTGCATGGCCTTACCTATTGAATGGAATATGAAAAGTGTTCTTCTGATAATTATTATTAAGAACTAAAGTTAAGGTTTTATCATCCTTATATTTAGAAAGTAAAACTTCTAACCATTGTTTGAGTTGACATTTTTAAAAAATACTTTATTTATTTTTTTATTTTAGGGTTTTATTTTTTAAGTCCCAGGCCGGTCCAGCCAGGCCCTGGTGGCACTCCACACTGCACAGGGTGCACCTGGGTTGTTTATTTTTTATGTGTATGAGTTTATTGCCTACATGTATGAAAGTGCACCTGTGTCATACAATGCCTGTGGAGGTCAGAAGAGGGCGTCAGATTCCCCTAGAACTGCAATTACAGATGGTTGTTAGCTGCCATGTGGGATCTGGGATTCTAACCTGGGTCCTCTGCAAGAGCAGTCAGTACTCTAAACCTCTGAGCCAACTCTGAAGGCCTGAGAGTTGACATTTTTCATCTATTACATTTGGCAGGATGTATGTCTCAGATGCTAGATCATAAGGTATTTTTGAAATCAGTAGTCATGTTTCATTTATCTTTATGTCCTGAATATCAGTCATAGTACCTTGAATGTCATAGGTATGTCAGAGTTGATGCTACTGAGTCAACTTTCAGAGAAACAGGTTCTGTTCCTAGATAACATTACTGTTTTCAGTGAGCAATCACACATTTGACTACAGATTTCCTCTTCCCTGTTTCATGGTATTTTTGAAATCAGTAGTCATGTTTCATTTATCTTTATGTCCTGAATATCAGTCATAGTACCTTGAATGTCATAGGTATGTCAGAGTTGATGCTACTGAGTCAACTTTCAGAGAAACAGGTTCTGTTCCTAGATAACATTACTGTTTTCAGTGAGCAATCACACATTTGACTACAGATTTCCTCTTCCCTGTTTCATGAACACATGTGCACACACACATGCTTTCTCTGACTTCTTTATATAAAGTTAACTCTTTACTACTTGTGCCAACATAGGGATTAATAATCCAAAGTGAAATCCCAAGACTCATATTTGGCTTTGAATACCTACCTTTAATTGTTCGTATAGTTGCTATTAGAATTGCTAAAACAATGTAAAGCAATGCTTCAAACATTTAGAGTTTTTTAAAAAAAAAAAGTTCATAGCTCCAGTTCTAGCGGGGCTTAAACCCTTCTTCTGGCTTCCACAAGCATTGCATGCACATAGTGCACTTACATGCATACAAATAAAACACATAAAATAGAAATAAATTAATTTATAAGAAAATAAAAATAAAGAAATGATACCCAATGAGCCCCCAGACAAAGATCACATTTACTAATGACCTGTTAATGGAAATCTTTCCAGAGTTATTTTTTCAGGCTTTGAGATATGATTTCCTTTTTTTTTTCTTTTCAGTACTGTGGATAAAATCCATGGCCTGTACATAGGAGGCAAGTGCTCTACCATTTAGGAATGGCCAGGCTCTGTGCGTGTGTGTGTGTCTCTCTCTCCAGAGATTGACCCAGGGACTCTTTCCTGCTAAGCAAGCATTGTTACTAAGCCACACCTCCAACTTCTAATTATATTTTGACCTTTGTATTTATAGTCTTTTTATTTATAATGAAGCATAAAAACAACCATAGAAATACAATCTGTTTATTCTCATAATTTGCACTAACTTGTAATTATCTATTAGTATCTGTGTTTACATATAATTGTTACCGATATAAAACTCTATATTTCAATAGCAAATAAGCATCTAGGTAACTTTCATTTAATTGGTAAGATCATATAGAACAAATGGCCCAGTGAGTAAAGGCAATTGATGCCCAACAGTGTAAAAACCTAATGACTTGAGGCTTGGATCTCTAGAACCCCATATAAAGGTGGAAAAATGGGGATGGACAGATGAATTAGTGGTGAAATGTGATTGCTGCTCTTACAGAGGACCCGTGTTCAGTTCCTGGTGCCCACATGGTGGCTCACAACTGTCTGCAACTCTAGTTCCAGAGGGTCCAAAATCTTGTTCTGGTCACCACAGGCACCAGGCACACAAGTGGTATGCATAAATATACATAAAATAAATATTTAAAAACATAAAAGGTAAAAAGCGGTAACTGACTCCACAGTTATCCTTTGACCTCTACACATGTGCTGTGGCATGTACTCACACATACAACCTACACACATACATAGTAAATAAATTATAAAAATAGAATAAATGGGGTTCTGGTGAGATGCCTCACTGGTTAAGAGCACTGCTTTCGTTTTCAGAGGACCCGGGTTTGGTTCTGTGTTGGATAAATTTAGTGTCAACTTGACACACCTGGCTTGAGGACACCTCAATTGGGGAATTTCCTCCATAGGACTGGCATGTGGCTATGTCTGTGGGGCATCTTCATGATTGTTCAGTGATGTGGGAGGGCCCCACCCCACAGTGGGTGGTGCCACCCCTGGGCAGGTGGGCCTGTGTTGCATAAGAAAGCAAGCTGAGCAAGGGCCAGGGGAGCAAGCCAGTAAGCAGCATTCCTCCATGGTCTGTGCTTCAGGTCCTGCCTCCAGGTTCCTGCCCTGAGTGTGTACCTTGGGCTCCCTGATGAACTGTGACCAAGGAGATGTAAGCCAAATAAACCCTTTCCTCCCCAAGTTGGTATTGGTCAGAGTATTTTGTCACAGCAATGGAAAAACAAACCAGAACAGGTTCCCATCACCCATATGGCAACTACAGTCTATAACTCAAGTTCCAGGGGATTCAGTGCCTTCTTCTGACCTGTGTGGGCATTGCATGACATGGGTTGCCCTTACATGCAGGCAATACACTCATACACATAAAATAAAAATAATAAATAAAATGTTTTTTAAAATGGCCAGGCGTGATGGTGAATCTCTATGAGTTTGAGGCCAGCCTGATCTACATAGCGAGTTCCAGGCCAGCTTGGGCTACAGGGAGACCCTGTCTCAAAAAGGCCAAAAAGAATGTTTGAAAAATAGAATAAATGGAAGTTATCTGATTGCAGTTTATGCTTACTATTTAAAATGATATTTAACTTTTTGTGTAAGCCTTGTTTAGAATATAATTTACATGCCAGGCAGTTTATCCATTTAAAGTACTAAGTTCTTTGGTTTAATTAACATAGTCACAGAGTTGTGAAAAACATCACTGCATTCAATTTTAAGACCATTTGCATTATCAGCAAAAGGAATTCTACACCCATTAGCAATGATTATTTTTCTAGTACCACCCTATGCAAACTTTAATCTCATCCCTATGAATTTTCCTATTTTAGAGATTCCATATAAATGGAATTATATGATACCTGTTCTTTGGGGATTGGTTTCATTTAGCATATTTTCTAGTTTCATCCATCTTGTAGCATATTTCAGTGTTTCATTCTTTTCATGGCTGAATAAGCCATTGTATATTTTTCATCAGCTCATGGCATTTGATTTTTTTCTGCTATTATAATGATACTATAAAATTTCTTGTACAAGTTTTTATGTGGGCATACATTTTCATTTCTCTTGGGAATATGCGTACGAGTAGAATTGTGGGATCCTGTGGTAACAGTTGTGTTTGGTGTTTATATCTTTAAAGAGATGTCTGCTCATCTTTTTTTTGTTTGTTTGCTTGCTTGTGCTTTAAGAAGGCAGTGCCTAAACCCCATGGTCAAAAGAATTTATTACCATATTTTGTTGAGTTAATTTTTATGCTTAATGTGAAGTAAGAGGTGTTTTTTTTTTTGGAGACAGGGTGTCCCTGTAGCCCCAGCTGGCCTGGAACTTGCTATGTAGACCAGGCTAGCCTTGAACTCACAGAGATCCACCTGCCTCTGCCTTTTTCTTAGTGCTGGGATCAAAGGTGAGTGCCACCCAGTGTGAAGTAAGAGTTTTAATTCATTCTTTTATATGAGGATATCCCTTTTTATAGCACCATTTAACTGATGAAAGTGTTCTGCCCACCTTGAATTGTTTTGGCATCCTTGTAAGACAAAGCATTTTATCATAAATGTGAGGGCTTTGGGCTCAGGAGATGGCTCAGTGGGTAAAACGCTGTTGTACAAGTGGAAGGACTAGAGTTCAGAACCTCAGTACCCGCATGAAAAAGCTGGGTAGGTGTGGTAGCCCATCTCTAATCCCAGGATGAGGGAAACAGAGACTGGGTATCCCTGGAAAGCTGGCTACCTAGACTAGCCAAATCAGCAGGCTCGGGGTTCATAAGAGTAAGAGTGATTGAGGAAGACACTTGATGTCAAACCCCAGACCTGCACATGAGCACGAACACACATGCAAACAAATATACAGGCATACCACATGCATGCACTCACGCACGATATATTGAGTAAATAAATACTAGACGTTTCGAGCAGTGTTTTTAGCACTACTATAGTAACTAAGTGTCTAAAAATTGATCTTGCTTTTGTTTTCATAGGTTACTATTCGAGCTTCATTGGGACCTGGTCAGTCAAGGCCATCAAGTACACGTAGTTCTGCTGCAAGCACCTCTTCTCTTCAAGTCTCATCTCCACAGTCTGAAAGTACACCTCCTAAAAGTCTCTCAAAAACTTTTGCAAATAAAGCTAAGAGAAGTAAGCTTCAGATCAAGTTAGCTACAAGTAAACCTAATGCAAGTAAGTCAAGTTCAAGTACAACTAAATCCAAAGTCAAGTCCTCCTGTAAGCAGAAGAAGCAGCGTGACAGGAAAAACAAAATCAGCAGAGCATTAAAGAATTTAAGGTATTTTAAATTCTTTGTTTCTTTTCTTTTTCTTTCTTTCTTTTGGTCTTTTTGAAACGGGGTCTCCCTGTAGCCAGCCTCAGCTGACCTGGAACTCTCTGTGTTAGACCAAAGTGGCCTTGAACTCCAGAGATCTGCCTGCATCTACTTCCCAAGTGCTGGGATTAAAGGCGTGCACCAGCATACCTGGCACTAACTTTTATTTGTTATATACAATACCAATTTAATCTTAATTTATTTCAATATAGTTTAACATGACACGGAACATTCATACATATTTACATGATAATCACTTTTCTATTATAAAGGCTAAATAAATGATAAAAGGGTACTTTTTATGGCTGCTGAACAGAATTTAAACTACTATGTTTAAACATGTTTTATCTTCATCTAGCAGCTATCAGTTGCCAGTATTCCTTCAGATAAGATTGAGGTCTCTTGTTCATTTTCCCAGTTCTACCCTGGGTTATTTTCTGCCTGAGTTTGCATAGGACTTTTGTATGCTGACACCATTACCATAGATGAAGAAGAGCTGATCTTCCTAAAACAAGGGACTCTAGATAGGCTGACTAGACTCAGTGGATGGACTTGCAGTGGGGAACGGTTGGAAACACTGTGAACCCAATGGACCTTAACAGGGATGATCCAGTATATGGGCTCCATTGGGGGTGGGGAATGGGAGAGTGCTAGTGGGGGGGTGATGTAAAGATGATTAAGAGATCGTTTGAGGGGACTGGAGAGATGGCTCTGCAGTTAAGAACACTGGTTGTTCTTGCAGAAGACCCAGGTTCGAATCCCAGAACACACATGGCAGCTAACAACTGTCCGTAACTCCAGTCCCAGGGAATCTGACAGCCTCCTCTGACCTCCATGGGCATTGCACGATACAGGTGCAATACGCACATACACATAAAATAAAAATAATAAATAAAATTTTTAAAAAATAAAAAAAGCCGGGCGTGGTGGCTCACGCCTGTAGTCCCAAAACTTGGGAGGCAGAGGCAGGCGGATCTCTGTGAGTTCAAGGCCAGCCTGGTCTACATAGTTCCAGGACAGCTGGGGCTACAGGGAGACCCTGCTTCAAAAAAACAAAACAATAAATAAAAATAAATAAATAAATAAATAAATAAATAATAAAAAAGATTGAGCTGTTCTGAATGAATTACTCAAAAAATTCAATTAAAAAACATGTTTTAATGACAGGTTGGTTAACTGATCCTTTTTATTCTAGGGAAATATTAACTGGTGGACTTTTTGAGCTTATTGTTTCAAAGCAAATTTTCAAATTTTAAATATTTATATTAATTTAAGCATCTTTGTTTCAGTTAATTATTAATAAGGCATTTCTTATTGTTGTAATATAATGTATATTTATTATTTTTTTCTGACTCTAAGGTTTCGTCAGGGTATTCACGAGTGTATTGAGTGTCATTCCAAAATAAAAGATTTTGCAAGCCACTTTTCCACATATATCCAGTGTGATTTTTGCAAGTACAGCACTAACTGCAACAAAGCCTTTATAAATCATACAGTGAGGTAAGTTAAGCATGTAAGGATCCAGTCAGGATTACCTTTCAGGGCTAGGAGTGTAGTAGCTCTCTGGTACCATTTACCTAGCATGTGTAAAGCCCTGAGTTCAATCTTTAGCACCAAAAAAAAAAGCCTGTCAGGAATGTTTAAGATCATCCTTAGGTATATATTGAATTTGAAGCCAGCCTGGGCTGCATGAGACCCTGTATCAAAAAATAATGGTATTCACATCAGGCATGGTGGTGCACAACTTTAATCCCAGCACTTGGGAGGCAGATGCTGTCTTTAAAAATGTTTTTTTTTTGTCTGTTTTGAGACAGGGTCTCCCTGTAGCCCCAGCTGGCATGGAACTCACTATGTAGACCAGGCTGGCCTGGAACTCACAGAGATCTGCCTGCCTCTACCTCCCAAGTGCTGGGATTAAAGGCGTGCACCACCGTGCCCGGCCTGAAAATTTTTTTAAAACCAAAAAAATAGTGCTATTCAGGAAGTTGGATTTATGCTGAAGATAAACTTGTCCTATTAGAAGCAACTTTTTCTCATCAAAGAACAATTTAGAAATAGGGATCTTCTAGGATGTTGCTTGTACTATTTTTCAGTGTAGTAATTTATAAACATGGTGGGACAAAATAAGAACAGTTAATGAAATTAGTGGCTGGAGAGATGACTCAGCAGTTAGGAGCACTGGCTGCTCTTACAAAGGATCAAGTTTTCATTCTCAGCAGCTATGCAGTGGTTAACAACTGTCTAACTCTAGTTCCAGGGGATCCAGTGCCCTCTTCTGGCATCTACAGGCATTGCATGACCTGGGTGCACTTAAATACATACAGCCAATACACTTATACATATAAAAATAATTAATGAAATTAGAATGGATTTATTAGAGCAATGTGGTTTTCTATGGGACTTTTTTCTTTTATACCAGAAAGGTGTTACTTTGAAGCATAAAATTTTGAATGTTTTCAATATATTTTTCAAAGAAATAAATATAACCATGAAGTCACTTTGAAAGGCTCTGGGATTTTTAGTGATGCTAAGAATGTTATTTTCACTCCCTCTCCCTCCTTCTCCCTGTTCCATTTCCTTTCTTTCCCCAGCCATCAGTCTTTGCATTCATTTAGTAAAATGTGAAATGCCAGACTGTAACAGTCATGTATTCATGATCCAACTGTTAGACTTCTTTTTCTTTTTTCTTTTATTTTTGGGGAGGGGTCTCCCTGTAGCCCCAGCTGGCTCAGAATTCTCTATGTAGACCAGGCTGGCCTCAAACTCACAGAGATCCGCCTGCCTCTGCCTCCCGAGTGCTGGGATTAAAGGTGTGCACCACCATGCCTGGCCAGAATTCTTTTTCATAAATTGATTCAACTTGTGCACTTACTAAGTGTTCTGTGAAAGGGGAAGACTTCAGGGTCCACATTACTTTCATTTGGACCTCATTAATGGGGGATTACTTTATTCCTTCAGGATGAACTTTTTGGAGGCCAAAAAGCCCTCCGATATAAATATACTAAGTTGGTTATTCATATTAGGATAGTTCTATTTTAGCTATACAAGTAAAATATTGCCTATAAAAGTAATTTTCTTAAGGATTATAACAAGATCTCTGTGTTACGTTCACAATATAGTAGGCTACTTCTTTGAAGGACTTGGCCACATTTTTTTATGACTTTGGCACTAGCTTTTTCTCCCCTTGTTGATAAGCCTAGCCTCATTTACTTTCATTTCAGTGCTAGCACTTCATACCCACTTCTAACTTGTTAAGTCCTCTTTCTTGCTACCATTACATGTTACCTCATTATAAGCAATAATTATTTCAAATACTTACTGACATGGCTTTCAGTACCTTGGTCCCTCTTTCTGTTCCAACAGCACTAACCCAGTTTCTCAGCTTCACCCCTAGTGTTACTGTTTGGAATGCTGCTTTGTTTTTGACCTCAGACACTTTGCATCTTCAGTCATGGTCAGCCTTGCTATCTGTGAATCTCTCTTAACGCTTTTTGATCTCTCTATGCTCATTTTTAGACTACTGAACCATGATTGATTCAATCAACTCTTTCATTTCATTCTGTTTTTTAAAATGCCTGTTTTTATTTTCTTCACCTGTTTAAAACCCATTTCATGACCCTCAAGATTTTATTCTATTCAAGTTAATTAACCTTGCCTAAAATTACTTAGAAGTCATAGTTTTTGTTTTTCTCAAAATTGTTTTTTTTCCTGCCTGAAGTTTTTTTCCTTAGTCTGGACATTAACCTCGGGAAACAAACATATCCTACTTTTGTAAGGTTAACCTTTCCCCTCCTCTCCTGCATTTCCTCCACAATCTTTACAGGTATTTTGGGCCTTCATTCTTCATGTCTTACAATCTTTCTGTCTCAACTCCCTTTGGAGCTGGCATGATAGGTTTGCAGGGGATACCTAGCTTGTTACATGCGTACTAGAATCCAAACTCCAGTTCTCATGATTGCTCAGCAAGTACTCTTAACCAAAGAACAATCTCTGTAGTGCCTGCTGAATACACTTTTGTAGTGATAAGACAACAAATACCTAAAAATATTCTTAGGGAAGTATGTCATAGAAAATAAAATAGAATCACCTCTTAACCTTTTGGATAAGATCAAATGTAAAAAATAAAATAGAGATAAAATATAAGAGAAAAACTTTGTCTTAAATAGAAGTGACAGTCTTGTCATTTGGGCTGCTAAAACAAAAATTCCATAAATCAGGTAGCTTTTAAACAACAGAAATTTTTTCTCATAGTTCTAGAGACTAGAAAATCTGTAATCAAAGTATGGAAGAGAATTGGTCATTATAGTGCATGCTTATAATCCTAGTACTTGGGAGGCAGAAATAGGAGGATTGTCCTAAAGAAAGGAGACTGCAAATCATGGTTGCACATGCCTTTAATCCCAGCACTCAGGAGGCAGAGGCAGGCAGATCTCTGTGAGAGATCTACATAGTGACTTCTAGGCCAGCTGAGGCTACAGCAGAGGGAGACCTTGTCTTAAAAGAAAGGTGAGACTGTGGGAGAGGGATATAAGAGATGCCAACAGTAATAGTTGTCCTGGTAATGTCCCATTCCTTATAGAGAACACCTTCTCTCTCTCTCTATTGTACAGTGGAATGCACAAGCTAGCTCTCTAGGATCTCTTTTATGAGGGGCATGAATCCTATTGGTAAGGGCTCTCTGCTCTGTGATCTAATTACCTTCCAAAAACCTCTTCCTCCTAGTATCATCCCATAGATTGGGCTAGGGTGTAGAGGTTAGGATTTTAATGTTTTATTGTTTTCCATTATGCTTCATTTGTATGATTTAAATTTTTTAATTTATTTTTATTTTATGTATGAGTGTTTTATCTGTGTGTATGTAAGTGTATCCATGTCATGTAATGCCCTTGGAGGCCAGAAGAAAGCATCAGATCCCCTGGCACTGGAAGGCTGGTTGTTTAACCACCATGTGGGTACTGAGAACCGAACTTGGGTCCTCTACTAGAGCAGCCAGTGCTCTTAACTACTAAGGCATCTCTCCAACCCCTGATTTTAACGTTTTAATGGAAGTAGGCACTTACACCATAGCAGTACTTAACATTATTTCACTATATATATTACAGCTTTTTGTACAAAACTAAGAAATTAAGCAGACTTAAAAACATCACTATAAAAATATGACTTATTTGATAATAAAAGTAATAAATTTTTTTTTAATCTATCAGCTCTCATAGTGACCACCCAAGTAAACAGTTTTATATTTTTAAGAAGCATTCAGGAACTCTCAGGTAACTAATTGATCTTTTTCTGTTCTTGGTATTGAAAAGTCATAGCAGTTTATTTTTAGCCTGATGTTGGTATACCTAATTTGGAAATCTAAATGATTGTTACTAGACATAATAGAGTTCTGTTTCTTATATTCTTAGATCAAAAGAATCCTGTCATCTGACTAACCTTTGTTTCAGTGGTGCCAGATACTGAGTTTCAACTCAACATTATAAAATAAAAAGGGGCTGTAGCAATATTTGATTAGAAGTAGGTTCATTAAAATGCTGTAATATTTTCAATAAATATTTAGCATTTACAAATCAGTTACATTTCTTATGAAATAAAATTATATAACATTGTTCAGAAAGACTTGTTGGTTAGTATTTCTAAAAGCATTGGAAATTAACTTTAGTTATATCACATGTATTTAGCTCTGAATCAACTATTATGTGTTTTCCACTTTCTTCTGATGCTTTTTTCTTCTCTTTTCCTTTGTTTAATTATCTTGTTCATATTGTCATATGTTTATCAAACATTGAATAGGTCCTGGCACATAATAGGTACTTAGTTAATATAGTATAACTATTGGAAACAAGCTAAGCCACTGATACCAATAGCTCTTAAAAGAAAGATTGATGTCTTTTTAAAAATATATTAGTTCAGGGGCTGAAATGTAGAAGTGTACATTTCTAATACTATGGAAACTGTATGGAGTTTCAAAAACTAAAAATAAGTCTAATGACTTTCTTCGTATATGGAAATAATAGTTATTTTGGATACAATAGTGAAGAAAAAAAGGCATAATCTACTGAGTTTATAATCTCACCTTATTTGTCAGAATAAAATTAGAGAAGTGAAGATTCTAAAGATTAATTATTAAGGGTTGGAGAGATGACTCAGCAGTTAAGAGCACTGGCTACTTTTGGAGAGGACTTGGGTTTAGTTCCTAGCACCAACATGGCTACTAACAACCATCTGTAATTCCAGTTCCAGGGGATCCAATGCCCTCTTCTGACATCTGCAGGCATTACATGACATGGATGCACTTACAATACACTCATACACATAGAATAAAAATAATAAATAAAATTTTTTTGATTATTTTTTTTTCTTTGAGACAGGGTCTTTCTGTAGCCCCAGCTGTCCTGGAACTCACTATGTAGACCAGGCTGGCCATGAACTCACAGAGATATGCCTGCCTCTGCCTCCCAAGTGTTGGGATTAAAGGTGTGTGGCACCATGCCCAGCTCATAAAATATTTTTTAATAAAATTTATTAGTGCAGCACTTGTGGGAGGGCAGTGGGCATATGCCTATGACCCTAGCAATCAGGAGACTGAGACAGAAAGATGGTGAGTGCAGTCTGAGCTGCATAGCAGGTTCCAGGCCAGGCTGTTACCTGCCTCAGAACAAAAGCAATTAATAATTAGTGCTACTTTTAAAAACATGACTGATTCAAGGAATTAGACAAGCCAACTTTACTGGAAATATTTTAAAAGAATGGAAAAATGGATTTTGTAAACTCTAAAGATGAGATTTTAAAATAATTGTTTTTTAAAGTTCAGTTGTTTATTCTTTAGCTATTTATTGTGTATTTATCATGTATAACATAATATATCCAGTCCTATACAAATCACAGTGATAAAGAAGGTGGTTTGGTAACAGCTTTCAAAAACATACAATGAATAACTATCAGTACAGTTTGGTTGGAACACAAAGTTTTTATAACAAAGTATAAACCAAAATCTGGAGGAATAATTTTTATCTTAGATACAGATTTTGAGTCCTCAAAAACAATTCTAAGGAGTTCAGACTTAATTTTACTTCAAAGCGCGTTGGGGAAACCAGTGATGTTTTGGGTATAATCAAAGGTACTGAAGGAGGATCAATTTGGAGAGGTACTGTATTAGTTACTTTCTGTTGCTGTGATAGAAACACTGACCAAAGCAACTTAGAGAAGGAAGAGTTCATTTGAACTTAAGGTTCCAAAGGGGCAAGAGTCCATCATGGAGGGGAGGCATGGTGGCAAAGGTGGCTGAAGCCTCGAGGAGCAGAAGCTAGGCTCTACATCTTCAAGCATGCACAGGAAGCAAGAGATCAACTGGAGATCTGGCAAGGCTTAAGAATTCTCTAAGCCCACCCCCATTTACTAGTCTCAATATTACTCAAAAGTTCACAGTCCAAAGTCTTTTCTGAGACTCAGGGAAATCGCTTAACTGCAAGCCCTGTAAAACCAAAAGACAAATTACATACTCCCAACATACAGTGGAACCGAGTACACATCCCCATTCCAAAAGGGAGGAATCTTAGAGGCATAGTGAGGAAATACTGGACCAAAACAAGACTGAAAACCAGCAGGGCAAACACCAAATTCAGTAGCTCCAACTTCTCAGACTACTTCCAAAGGATTCAGATGGCTCAGCCTCTCCAGCTTTGATGCGTGCAACATCTATCTCTCTCTTAGGCTGGTACCACTCCCTGTATGCAGGTCTTCTTGCCAGATGCCTCACAGCTCTGGCATCATGAAGGTCTTGGGGTCTCCATTGCCAACCAGGCTTCACTGTCACAGCTTCACAAAATGGCCTTCTTTATGTGGAGGAACCCCTGCTTCATGTTGCCAGGCCTCGTTGGCTCTCTGAGACCCAGAGGAAGAACTGATGACCCCCTGCACACTTGCATTTTTCATGCCTCTAAAGCTAGCACCAGGTGAATGACACTGCCAAGTTTGGCTGCAAGTCTGGGGTAGACCCCAGCCTGCTTTATCCATTTTAGAAGCTTTTCTCTTCTGTGGCCCCTGCAGCATTTTCCTTTCACAAGTTGGAGGCTTAGCTGGGTGTGGTCTTGCCCTGGAGGCATTCTCTCCATTGTTTAAGTACAAATCTTTAGGCCCCTACTTAATCCTTTAATCTCCTTGTCAAAAGGATCCTCTCCTTCAGCACATGCCTTGGCTCCACCATTAATCTTGGTAGTGCTCTTTTTCAATCCAAACTGAACATTTTCCATTTCTTTCTGCCCCATTTGCTCTTTTTCATTGTAGATCTGCATAATATTCACCATTAATAGTCACACCACATTTCAACATTAGGCTGTCTTGAAATTTCTTCCATCAGAGAAATTAATCCATTGCTTTTCAGCTTGGCCTCCAGTGACATGTTTCCTCCAGCATGGCCACACCTTCTAAAACCTCCCAAAACAGTGCCACCAACTGGGGACAAAACGTCCAAATACTTGGAGCCTATGGGGGACATTCTCATTCAAACCATCACGGGTACAAATGGTGAGCTGTGCCTGCATAAGCCACAGATTGTTAAGGGTGTAATTTAATAATGATTTGGGTCAAGGGGGTAGGATACACATTATGTTCAAGAAAATGGGGTCTGACAGGATTGGTGACACACACTTGTAATCCCTCTATTTAGTATATAGAGACAGGAGGACCAGACATTCAAGGTCTTTTTTTTTTTAGTCTTTTGGAGACAGGGTCTCCCTGTAACCCCAGCTGTCCTGGAACTCACTATGTAGACCAGGCTGGCCTTGAACTCACAGAGATCCACCTGCCTCTGCCTCCCAAATGCTGGGATTAAAGGCGTGCGCCACCACGCCCAGCTCAAGGTCATTCTTAACTACATAGTAAACTTACAACTAGCCTGCACTAGGTGGGACCATGTCTCAAAAAACTAGAAAGCGGGGCCTGGAGAGATGACTCAGCAGTTAAGAGTACTGGCTGCTCTTACAGAAGACCCAGGTTCGAGTTCCAGCACCCACATAATGGTTAACAGCTGTCTGCAACCCCAGTTCCAAGTGATCCGATGACTTCTGGCCTCCACAGGCATTGTATGACACGAGTACACTTACATCATATAGGAAATACACTCATATACATAAAATAAAAAATAAATAAAAAACTTTAAAACTTAGAAAGAAAAGGAAATGGCCTCTGGAATCAAAGGGCTCAGTTTCAAACATGGTCCTGACCTTGGATAAGTTACTAAACCTGACCATATCATCTATAGAAAAGTGATCATTTTGATGCCTAACTCTGAGTTGTTTGGATTAGCTTGTTTTAGGAGCTAGGTCTAAACCTCTCGAACTAGCACAGTGTAAATTCTTGATAAATTGCTAATATTATTAGATCTGAAGTATTGAATTTTCTAAGGAAAAAGACAGTGATAACTAGAATCTTGAACCTCAGTATCAGGAAAGTGGTATCAGAAGAGAAACTTGACAAGAAGGGTGATTTGGGGGGAAGGAGGAAGATGATTTTGGTTTTACAGGTTAATTTTTTATGTGTAACAGCTAGTTGTAAAAGCTGTTTAGACTAGAGCTGCAGAGGAAAAATCAACCTAAGATCTGCTGCAAGTTTTTATTCCTATAAAAGTAAGGTGTTTCACTTTAAAATATATATTGAAGCTAGATGTGGTGGCCCATAGCAATAATCCCAGCACTCAGGAAGGTGAAGCAGGAGTAATTTGAGTTCAAGGCCTAACTGGGCTACATAGGAAGACCCTATCTCAAAACAAAAACCTGAGTTAAATATCTAAAGAACTTCCAAAATTGCATGTATACTTTAATAAGCTACTAATTTTTTAAAATTTATTTTATGTGCATGAATGTATTGCTTGCATTGCACCTGTGTCGTGCAGTGCCCACGGAAGTCAGAAGAGGGTGTCAGATCCCCTGGAACTGGAGTTTACAAACAGTTATTAGCCACCGTGTGGGTGCTGGGAACTGAACTTGGGTCCTCTGCAAGAGCAGTCAATACTCTTAACTGCTGAGCCATCTCTCCAACCCTTAATAAAGAATTTTTAGAATCTTCACCCTAATTTTATTCTAACAAATAAGACACTAGATTATAAATTCAATAGATTACGCCTTTTCTTCACTGTTGTATGCAAAATAACTATTATTTCCATGTATGAAGAAAGTCCTCAGACTTAGTTTTAGTTTTTGACACTCCATACTGTTTCAATAATACAAATTTACATTTCTAACAACAGTGTATAAGAGATGCCTTTCTCCACATCTTTATCAGCATTTTCTTCTTTTGGTATATTGACATTAGCCATTCTGACTTTAGTGAAATGACAACTTCATTGTAATATTAATTTACATTTCTTTGGCTAATGATTTTTGAATTTTTCATAGACTTCTTGATTATTTATATTTCTTTTTTATTTTATTTTATGCATATGAATGTATTGCCTGCATGTATGTAAGTGCACCCATGTTGTATTTGCCCTTTGAGGTAAGAAGAGGGTGTTGAAACTGGAGCTGGGGAAGATTGTTAGCTGCCATGTGGGTGCTGGGACTCAAACCTGGGTCTTCTGCAAGAACAGCCAGTGCTCTTAACTGTTGACCCATCTCTCCAGCCCCTAATTTGTCTTTCTTTTTTGAGAAACGACTCTTCAAAATTTTTGCTCACTTACACTGTGGAGAAAAACAATACTGGTTATTGCTGAGGCATATATACATCTGTAATAGAATGAAGACATACAAAAAAAGAAGTTCCTTGGCAAATATATTTGAATGAATAAATGTTATTTTCTTGCTTGGTAGATAGGCAAAGACCTAGAATCATTGCGTTTTCCACAAGTTATACAAGCTGGTAGTGGTGCCAAGACTCGTTTTAGCAACAAATTGAGAGTGAACAATTTATAAAGCACTAAGTGATAGTAAAATTTAGATATGGCAATGTCTTATTCCTGTGAACTTTGAAAAGCATTTTAGATATATTTATAACAAAAATGGGAAATGACAGTCATGGCACATAAAATAAAAATTGAATTATTGTATGGAACAACAATTACTGAATTTGTATATGAATTTCCATATTCGGTCTTCTTATATTCTTCTCTTTTTTCATAGGGGCATCACTCTAGTGTGCCTTAAATGTGACTTCCTGACCGATTCTTCTGGTTTAGACCGTATGGCTAAACACTTAAGTCAACGTAAAACTCATACTTGCCAAGTTGTAATAGAGAATGGTATGTAATTTTATTTTGTAATTTTGACTGTATGATATTTAGTCCAGTAGTTTTGATGTGTCACAGTGTAGGCTCTTATGAATTAAATTGATAGTCTCATTCTTCATATATGCTATTTGTAAACATAAGACTTTCTTCTGATTTCAGTTTCTGAAAGTACCTTAACTTCTGAATCCATTTCTGAGTAAGTTTAATTTTTCTTCAGTACATTCTACTTTGATAGATTTTAGCACTATTGCAATATTTAAATGTATCATTGATAGCAATGAAAAATATTAAAGTATTTTGTTTTTGTTTTTGTTTTTTAAAGCCGCTTGTTGAAATAGATTCCTGCTCTATGGAGCTCGTGCAACCTGGTGCAAGACAAGTTGGAATTTCCTAAGTTCAGAGTTCTGAAGTGTTTTCTTTCACAAATGCAGTTTTCTAAGTTCAAAGTCCTGAAATGTTTTCTCATATAAAGTAGTTAAAATTCATGACACTAGCTCTCATTCAGCTCTTTTCAGCTTTCTGATGGCACTACATTTTTATTCCACCTTATCTTTGTGTCAGGTTAACATATCTTAACAAGTGCTTATTTCTGTCCAGTTGACTCTGGAAAAATTACTTTGTTGCTGTAGTTTTTTTCTTGCTTTGCTTCAGATAGTTTGTGTTTTTCTTTGCTGTACTTGCTTTCAAGATATTACATACCAATCAATAGGATTGATTGTTCATCTTTCTTTTTGTCTGTTTTGTCTGCTACTTAATTTCTTATAAGTCTTACATTTTAGGTCAGATAGCTGTTTTTTTTTTTCCTTCCCTCCTTGTCTGTCATTGTTCTGTTTTTCATATTTTTCAGATGCAGAAGCAACACAGAAATTTCAAACAATGTCCAGTATACTCCTGGACAGTGTCCCCCTTCGATGGACACAACTGATGCCTGTTCCCTCTTTCCAAGTAATGTGAATTATTTGACTGTGAGACTTGCTTACAGTTTGTGGCCTTAAGAATTTATCACCTTTTTTAAAAATCTTTTTGATAACTCGCTATGCAGACCAGGCTGGCCTCAAATTCACAGAGATCTGCCTGCCTCTGCCTCCCTTGTGCTTGGACTAAAGGCGTGGCCGGGCCTTATTTATCAGTTCTTAGGGAGTCTTCCTACCTAACTGGCTTCCCATGAAGCTGATGTTGATTTGGCCAGAGATGACCTCAAGGTCTACCAAACTAAGCACAACTTCCCACTGGGAGCTTTGGTCTTTGTCTTAACTTGGAAGTTCATTCTAACCAAGAAAAGCCCATCAAATCAGTTTTTTAAATCCAAGTTCAAATTTAATCACTTTGACTGTAGCCCTTTAATCTTCCTCTAGCATGCATGTAATCTAAGGTTTATAAAAATCTTGATTGTATAGGGAGTTAAGATTACCTTCATGTTCTTGGAAAAAGAAACTTTCCAGAATTACAGTTCCAGAGGCTGGAGAGATGGCTTAGTGGTCAAGAGCACTGGCTGTTGTTGTACGCACATGATGGCTAATAACTATCCATTACTCCAGTTCCAGGGAATTTCATGCCCTCTTCTGGCCACTATGGCTTTGCATGCATGGATGTCCTTAGTACACAGAAGAAGAAATAAATAAATATTAAATAAAGTTATAGTTCCAAAGTAACATTTATATTGTCGTTTAAGGTTTTATCTAGTATTAATATTAAGAGTTTTCAATAATGCTGTCATTTAGGTTTTTAAATTTTTTTTAATTCATTGAGAAACAGGGTGTGGTGGCACACCTTTAAACTCAGCCCTCAGGAGGCAGAGATCGGGGAGATCTCTACACCTTTGAGGCTAGCATGGTCTATATACAAAGACCTTGTCTCAAATTTATATATCTTGATTTTACGTCATTCTTCACCAAATTTACTAATGTCCATTTTGTATGTCTACTTTCATACTTTCTTCTTAAAACTTTTCTTCGTTTGTTTTGTTTTTGTTAAGAATGTCAAAAAATTTCTTTACATTTTCTCCCAGATTTCATGCAGCTCCTGTTCATAGCTTCTTAATTCAGTACTTATTCAGATCATTAGACATTAACACATGCTCCACCTAGGGATTCTCATTAACACTTACAGATCTCAAAACAAGCTTTAAAGGCACATCGTTATTCATCTAGTACATGTCTTCTTAGCCATTAATGTAACTCTTTCGGTAAAAATAATATATTCAAAAGTATTTGGACCAAAAAATGCACTTGTTTTTTGCATATATATATATGTATGTGTGTGTGTGTATATATATACACATATATAGATGTATATTTTTGTTTATTTTGGTGTTTATTTTGGTTACATTGAATATAGATTTCTGCAACAGTTTTGATGTTACTTATTTTTTTAATAAAATTTGTATTGTTAAGAACTCTTGGAAATTATTTTATAAGTTCATATAAAACCCATAGATTGTATCATATAACAAGAAGCATTGCTTTGCTTCTTTTATGGAAACCTGACTGCTTTGCCTACATACTGAGATCTTTGTTTATTGAATATATCTTGTGTTTTTTCCTTAAGCACAGTTAAAAGCTCACTATATTTTACTAATTTGAACTATTTTAAAAACTAGCAAAAGACATGTTCATGCTGGAGGCTTTGTTTAAAAGCACTTACTGCTCTTGCTCAGGACCCAAGTTTGTTTCCCAGCACCCATATTGGTTGACACACAACCACCTGTAACTCCAGTTCCAGGGGATCTAACATCCTCTAGCCTCTGCAGGCACTGTACTCATGTGCGCACAAGCACACAGACACAAATACAATTTTAATTTTTTAGATTAAAAACCTGTTTTCTTGGGGGTAGAGAGATGGCTAGGGGTTAAGAGCACTAGCACTGACTGCTCTTGCAAAGTATTTTTTAAAAACCTGTTTTCTTAATAATGGTGAAAGTAGGCAGTCCATGATGTCCAATTCAATCATGAGTGTATTTTTTTGTTGTTGTTTTAAAATCAGATCTACATGATTGAATTCTGAAAAATTACAAGCCAATTATACTGGTCATTTGTTATATAGTATATTGCTTGCAATCATAATCAAGAGTTGAATATATTGGGTTAATTCTCCATAATGATGCCTGCTATACATGATATTTTGAAATCTTTAGAATTGTTTTATTTTTATTTATTTATTCATTTATTTATTTATTTTGGTCTTTTTGAGACAGGATCTCAAATAGCCCCAGCTTTCCTGGAGCTCATTATATAGGTCCAAACTGGCCTTGAACTCACAGAGATCCACCTGCCTCTGCCTTCAGAGTGCTGGGATTAAAGGCCTGTGCCACCATGCCCAAGCAATACATTTACTTTATTTTGAAGTAGTGGACTTGGTGATTTTATCTCAAGGATGTTTTATGAGTTATTGTTATATTTAGTTTTTAAACCATTTTTGTAGTGGTACGATACATACATAACAGGGCTGGGCATGGTGTTACATGCCTTTAATCCCATCAGTCGGGAGACAGAGGCAGGCAGATCTCTGTAAAATAGCCAATTTTCTACCTAGCCTGGAACTCAGTATGTACATCAGATTGGCCTGCTTCTGCCTCTCAAATTCTGGGATTAAAAACATACACCACACCCAGCTTAAAGTTGTGTCTTGTGACATCATTTTTAAATTAGTTCTTCCAGAATTTCATGCAATGTGTTTTGATCACATTCAGACCCCTTCCCACTGTTCCCACCCTTCTACCCTCCATCATGTTCTCTATTATTGTTTTTTAATGGCCTATCAAGTCTAATCTGTGTTCTTCAAATGCTCTTCAGTGTGGATCTGTCCCTTGGAGTTCGGTGTGACATCATTTTAAAGTTTTTGTTTAAGGGACTGGGGATGTAGATCAGTGGCAGAGCACTTGCCTGGCATGTGTAAGGCCCTGGGTTCAATCCCCAGCACTGAAAAAAAATTGAAAAATTAGAGGTCTTAAAATTTTTGTTTAAATAAAATATTTCAGGCAATCAATACTAAGCTTTTTTTATTTTTTTTAAATATTTTATTATTTTTATTTTATGTGTACGAGTGTATTGCCTGAATGTATGAGTGCACCTGTGTCATGGAATGCCGCAGAGGTCAGAAGAGGGCTTCGGATTCCCCTGGAACTGGAGTTAAGAATGGTTCGTAGCCACCATGTAGGTTCTGGGAATTGAACCTGGGTCCTCTGCAAGAGCAGTCAGTGCTTTTAACCACTGAACCATCTCTCCAACCCCCTCTCTAAGCTTTCTTATTAGAGGTATGCAGTTAAGTTTTAGTTGGTAGTAAAGAGTTTTAGCTTGGTACTCTGATTCCTCTTTACCTTTGGGTTATTTTAAATCTTTCAATTAGATATAGCCGTCTGCTGATACTGCATATTGGCTCCCCCCCCAACATTGTAAATGGTAGGATTGGCTTATTTTCAGTTCATTAGTGCCTTTGTGGGGTTTGTATTTCAGTAGTGAGAGACAGACAATAGAAAATTAATTAAAAAGCCTGAATGCTTCAAAATAAAAGAATAGACTGAGACTTTCTGAAAATGAGTAATAGCTCAGTAAGTGATTATAAGAACTGACAAAAAACCTTACATCAAATTAAAAAGCTTCTGCACAGCAAAGAAAGCAGTCAGTGAAGAGATAGCCTGGAGAATGGGAAGAAGCGTCTTTGACAACTATATATCTAATATGGAATTAATATCTAAAGTCTATCAAGAAATATATTCTGTGTAATTAATATATGCTAATAAAACTTAAAATAATCAAAAAGAAATAGAAGTATTAAGCAGATAAACCAATCAATACATGGGCCAATGAACTGAACTAACATTTCTCAGAAGAACAAATAGGGTATGTCAGGATGACTCAGTGGATAGGGACACTACTGCTGAGGCTGATGACCTGAATTCAGTCTCCAGAAACTGCGTGATAGAGAACTAGAGAAACGACTCCTGCAAGCTGTGCCCTGACTTCCACACATAATGCTGTGACTTTCATATACACACACTAAATAATGGAATTTTAAGAAAGAAATAACCCATAGACCAATAGATAACAAATGACCAATAGATAATAGAAAAACATGTTCAACATCCTTAGACATCAGGGAAATGCAAATTAAAACTGCATTGAAATTACATCTTACCCCAGTCTGAATGGCCATCATCCTGAAAACAGATGCTGGAAAGGTTGTGTAGAAAGAAGAACACTTATATACTACACATAATAGTGTAAATTATTGAAGCCACTATGGAAATCAGTATGGAATTCTTGAAAAAAAAACTAAAAGAAGTGCCATATAATCCAGCTATACCATTTCTAAGTGTGTGCCTGAAAGACTCAAGCGAATGTACCACAGAATTACTTGCATGTCCACGTTTATTGCAGTACTATTCACAATAGCCAGGATATGAAACCATCCTAGATGCACATGCCCATCAACGGGTGAATGGAAGGAAAATGAAAGAATAAAATGTGGTGTATATACACAGTGGAGTTTTAATTGGCCATAATGATGAATGAAATGTCATTTGTAGGAAAATAAATGGAACTGGAGCTTATTATGTTAAATAAGTCAGACTCAGACAAATACCACATTTTCTGGAAAGTTTGTGTAAATAGAAAGGGGACCATTGGAAGAGAGGAAGAGACAAGGAAGGATGATGGAAAGGAAAAAACATGTTTTTTCATGTAGAACCTGGAATAAAGCATCACTTTTAAAGAATAGGAAGGAAAGTTCCTTAATGTAATCTAAAAAAATCTACAACCCAGGAGTGCTGGTCTTCAAACCCAGCACTCATGGGCAGAAGCAGGCAAATCCATAAGATCAAGGCCAGCCTGGTCTACATAGTGAGTTCTAGGCCAGCTGGTGCTACAAGGAAACCCTTTCTCAAAACAACAGCAAAACACTTTATTTGGGTCTGGAGACATGACTCTGGTTAAGAGCACTGAGTGCTCTTACAGAGGACGATGATTCAGTTTCCAGTACCCACATGGTGGCTAACAGCCATTCATAACTCCAGTTCCAGGGGATCTGACTGCCTCTTCTGACCTCTGGGCATTGCAGAACACAGATGCACTTACATAGATGCAGGCAAAACACTCATACACATAAAATGAATATTTTTTAAAAATCTACAGCTAATAATGATGGTAAGTGGGAAACACTAAAGCAGGCTAACACCTGCATCAGGGGACAGCAACAACACTGATGGGGCTGTAATGAAGCTGGAAGCTAAGGAGGAGTCAGGGAGGAGAACTTGGGAGGTCATGTGAACAATACAGCATAGAACGTCATAGGCAATTGTGAGGATTTGGTTTTTAATCCGGGATAGGAAGCCAGTAATAGATTTCATTTATTTTTTTTAATGTTTTATCTATTATTTTGATTTTGTGTGTATGAGTGTATTGCCTGCATGTATATAAGTGCACCTGTGTCATGCAGTGCCCACGGAGGTCATAAGAGGGTATCAGATCCCATGGAACTGGAGTTAGAGACCATTTTTAGCCACTATGTGGATGCTGAGAACCAAACCTGGGTCCTCTGCAAGAGCAGCCAGAGCTCTTAACCACTGAACCACCTCTCTAGCCCTAATAGTAGATTTTGAATAGAGTAATTTATTCATTAAAAAACTGAATGAAAAGTAAAAACTTCTTAAAGTGCCACCTTAGCAGAATCACTCCCCTTGCTATCTTGAGAGTAAGTTGCAAGAGACCCAAGTCAGTATCAGCTATCAGCTGGAAGCCTGATATAATAATTCAGGTGAGAGATGGTGAGGACTTAGACTAAGACGGTAAGAGTGTAGGGGTAAGTGGCTCAATTTTGTATGTATATTGAACGTTCAGCCAAAAGAATTTGTTAATAGTTTAAATGTAGACAATGAAGGAGACAGACTGGACAACTTATATTAACTTAAGTTGGAGAAGGCTAAAGAAAACACATTTGTTAGAGAAGATGAGGACTTTGATTTGGGGACATACTTGAATTTAAGTCAGTATGACATCACCAAGGGGTGAAGAAAGCATGCAGCCCACAAATGGAGTTCTAGAGCATTTGGACAACAAAAGATTAGCAATATGCTGAGGAACCAGCAGTATACACTGAGGTGTGAACCAATGATATGAGAGGACCACCAGGGGATGACTGTGCCCTTGAAGCATAGATTGATGTCTTATCTGTAAAATGAGGATGCTTACTTGAATTATATTTTCCTTATACCTAAATATCACTAATACTTAAGAGAAAATAAATTTAGGAGAATAATTTCAAAGGTCAGAATGTGTTGTGTACCTTTATTACCCAAATTTGATACATTAGTCATTCCTCAATAGATACTGAGATTCCAAAAGAA